GGTAGTACCTCCCTGGGCAGTTGCTGTCTACCAACCTACTACCTAGGAGAAGTGATGTTAGGGGGCAAAAATTTAATTTTGATAAAACTAAACTCCCCCACAATTCACTCTTGTAACTCTGGAGGATGAGCAGGAGCATTGTGCAGTAACAGGAAGCACTGGAGTAGCAATTTATTTTCCAGGAGGTATTTTTTCACCCTGGGGCTAAACACATCATAGAACCAATCGAGGAAAATGTCCCTAGTGACCCATGCCTTACTGTCTGCCCTCCACATCACACACAGTTTAGGCTTGACAGCTGTTTTTTTTGAACACTCTGGGAGTTTCAGAGTGATACATCACTAAAGGCTTCACTTTGCAATCCCCACTAGCAGTAGTACAAAACATGAGAGTTAGCCTGTCTTTCATAGGCTTGTGTCCTGGGAGTGCCTTTTCCTCCTGAGTAATGAAGGTCCTGTTTGGCATTTTCTTCCAAAACAGGCCTCTGAAGGGAATTCCTGAGCTGTGGTCTGTTGCTGTTGCACCTCAAGCTCTTGCAGCTCTGTAGTGGTTAGCTCTTCATAGTCTTCCTCCACCAACTCTTCCACATCCTCACCACTAACCTCCAACCCCATGGACTTCCCCAATGCCACAATAGATTCCACAACTGGCATAGCCTCCTGAGAGCAGGAATTCCTCTGGAACTGAAAAATTTAAATGAGGAAAATTGTCTCAGTAAACGAGCAGATCGGGATACAAGCTAGGTCATGGGAATGGATTAAACTCGTTAGCCGAGGTTCCACTGTACTATGACATTTAAAATGCTCTGGAGTGATAAAATGCATATAGTGTACACTCATTGCTTTTTATTTTTATTATTATTATTAACACACTGGCCGATTCCCACCAAGGCAGGGTGGCCCGAGAAAGAAAAACTTTCACCATCATTCACTCCATCACTGTCTTGCCAGAAGGGTGCTTTACACTACAGTTTTTAAACTGCAACATTAACACCCCTCCTTCAGAGTGCAGGCACTGTACTTCCCATCTCCAGGACTCAAGTCCGGCCTGCCGGTTTCCCTGAATCCCTTCATAAATGTTACTTTGCTCACACTCCATATACATATATATATATGTATGTATGTATGTATAATTTTTTTCTTTCTTTCAAAAATATTTGGGGCACTGGGCGAGAGAACATAGATCTACATTGGGACTGTTTAGGGGTTAATGTTTTAAATGACATTTAATGCACCTCAGAGTGATTATTATTGTATTATGTATTATCATTATTATGGCATCTTCAAGATTAATAAGACACTTTTAGTGATTTTAACGTGTACCTGCATGCAGTATAAGTTTATTTCGGTACAGGTACGAATAAGTACGTATAATTATCAGAGTATGCAGTAGGGCCCCATGTATATAGTAAGTTAGGTTCCAGGCTATTGCTGGAAAGTAGAACACCATTTTTTCACTTATAAATGCCAGACAACAAGTTTACCCCAACTTATATTAAGCTAGTAATAGAACTAGGCATTAAAAACACAATAAAAGTAAAATGCATACACAGTACATTCATTATTTACCTTAAAATATTTGTAGTCTTATTAATGTAGGGTAAAAGGCGGGTAGTACATACAGTAGGGCCCCACTTTATGGCGTTTCGCTTTACAGCGTTCCGCTAATACGGTCATTTCAAATTATGACCATAACTCGCTATACGGCTCCCCCACCTGACTTTCTAATACGGTCACCGCGCTCCACCCAGTTTGTTTACATTCTCTGTGAGATCCGCAAGCACTAAGTCTCTCCATTATGTCTGGAAACTCCAAAATTTTAAGTGTTTTTAAAAGTTATATCATATTTTATATATACTCTGATAATTATACTTATGTATACCGGTACTTAAACTTACATACTGTGCTGGCATGCAGGTACACATTAAAATCAGTAAGTGTGTTTTATGTCTCCAGACGTCATATTAGTAATGATGACAATAATCACCGAGTCTCATTTAAATGTTGTATATTACGTTAATATACACATTTTCATTAATCCATCTATGATATTTTTTCAAAATTATATAATAAACACGATGCATAACATATAAATATGATAAATATACCCCACAGTAGAATAAATAAACATAAATATGAGATGTGGTAGCAGACGACTTGCACAAGTGACGCCATATTAGAAATAATAATAATATCATCACCGAGTCTCATTAAATGTCGTATATTACGTTAATATACACATTTTCATTAATCCATCCATGATATTTTTTTCAAAATTATATAATAAACATGATACATAACATAAAGGTGATAAATACACCCCACAATAGAATAAATAAACATAAATATGAGATGTGGTAGCCAGATAACTTGTACAAGTGATGCCAAGAATAACATTTTCTCTAATCTAACAAAAGAGAAAATGTGTTACTGGGGGTAACTGTAGAAAATTATTCCTTTCGTATGTATGTAAGTAAGTTCATTCAGGTATACACAAATAGTTACATAGATTATCATACATAACAGCATATGTGTAGAGAACCTAGGATAACCCAAAAAAGTCAGACAAGAGTGACTTATTTCCATTGCCTTCACTCAGAGTGTCATTTCTTCTCAAAATGATGTTACATGAGAATGGGAGTGTTCTTCTTTATTTATTCTACTGTATCAATGTAGAGACAACCTGTACACAATGTAACTTGTACACAAACCAGACGTGTACACTTTGTTTGTTTACAAAACTTACCTTCGCCTGGTTTGTTTACATAACTCTGCGCCTGTCCTCTCTCATGCACTCATTCTTTCTCTCTCATTTATTCGTTTTATCTCATTTACTTACTCCTGACCCTACATTAAGACTACAAATATTTTAAGGTAAGTAATGAGTGAACTGGATATACATTTTATTG